TTTTTCCTTTTAATAGAACGGGAGTAGAGTATAATTTTTTTTCAGATAGCTCTCGTCAAAATTAATAACATTTACTTGAGATATTTTTTTTATTCTATACTGTTAGAAGGAAATTCAATTATGGAAAATAATTTAATTTAACTTACCGGATACACTTAAAGACGTATTCGATGTTATTTCTAAGCTATTTAGAAACATTTTCGGCATACCAGGTCTGTAAATATGAAACCGGAATTTGCCCATAGATGGCCCTAGCTGTCAATGTAGTTACCGTCAAACCGAGTCATTAGCGCCATTTCCATTTGTTGACATCTGACAAAGATTTTCATCTCACAACAATACAAGTTTCATACAACAGCATAGTTTGTAATAGCGTTGAACATGTCGAATTTTGTGCCTGGAAGCTACGATTTGCGGACGGCATTGATTTTCTGTTACCATTTGAAGAAAACTGCTGCAGAATCGCATCGAATGCTTGTCGAAGCTTATGGTGAGCATGCTCTTGGTAAATCACAGTGCTTTGAGTGGTTTAAAAAATTCAAACGTGGTGATTTTGACGTGAGAAACGAAGAATGTGGAAGACCACCGAAAAAGTTTGAAGACAGCGAATTGCAAGCATTGTTGGATGAGGATGACGCTCAAACGCAACAACAACTTGCGGATCAATTAAATGTGACACGAGAAGCCGCCTCCATATGTTTGAAAGCTATGGGAAAAGTCCAGAAGATGGGAAAATGGGTTCCACATGAACTGAATGAAAGACAGCAGGAAAATCGAAAAACTACTTGCGAAATGCAGCTCGCCAGGTACAAAAGAAAGTCATTTCTCCATCGAATTGTGACTGGCGATGAAAAGTGGATATATTTTGAGAATCCTAAGCGTAAAAGATCATGGGTAACTCCAGGCGAACTATCGACATCGACTGCAAGGCCAAATCGCTATGGACGAAAGACAATGCTCTGTGTTTAGTGGGATCAGAAGGGTGTGATCTATTATGAGCCGCTAAAACCTAGCGAAATAGTTCATACTGAACGCTACCGACAACAAATGATCGATTTGAATCAAGCTTTGCGTGAAAAACGACCAGAATATCAAAAAAGGCAACACAGAGTGATTTTGCTTCATGATAATGCACCATCACACACAGCAAAACTGGTCAAGGAAACGATTGAGGTTTAGTTGGGAAATACTTTCGCATGCGGCTTACTCACCAGACTTGACTCCGTCCGATTACTACTAATTACTACTTCTATACAAATTCCGGTTTCATATTTACGTACCTGGTATTGAGGAAGTAATTTCCTATAAGATATCAACTTTATGTTTGATTAGATTAGCTAGAGAAATAGGTTCTTAGTGTTATCGAATTTCCTTCGCGTAGATTAGACTTTGAAGTGGCAAACTTAAGGAAAATGTTGATATGTTATTAGCGCTAAATGAATGCTAATGCAACTACCGACAAGCTGCTGAAATGTTCGTTGAACATTTCCACGAAAATTGGCATTTTTATATTTAGAAAACTGTTTTCTATTTCTATTTTCGTTTTTATAGTCTATTTCAGTGATCCTATCCCATCACACTTATTGGGAATACGCGTACATTCTTAGACATAAAATTGCAAAATTTGCAAATGGATTGGACGCGGTGAATTTATTCTTTTTTGGCGGTCATTTAGATCGCCAGATTTAACGCTATTAAGTTTCTTTTTGTGGGCTTTATGTAAAACATAAGGTTATTATACAGTGCCTACCAAAAGTTCCACCTAAATAATTTTTGAATGGTTTGAAATGTAGGATTGAAATTTATAGGAATTTATAGGAAATTTATAGGAAATGTATGTTATTTAACCACAATATTATTTAACCACGAAAACACCCATCTCGACACCCCGGGGGACGGGGGGAGCGGGGAGCTAAAAAATCTTAAATGGCATGTTGAGTGAGGGCTCGTTCGAAAGGGCTTCCCGAGACGAAAACAACGCGAGGTCGGCGAGGCCTCTACGATCTTTTTCGCAGAGTTATAATCATTTGAACATTTTTATTGAGATTTTGCGACAGCGAAGGCCCACGGCGACAACAGAAGAAAAATAAGGCTTCACACGTGCATGCGCGTTCCTGAGTGTATGTGTGTGTGTGTGCGCGCGTGTGTGTGTGCGTGTGCGTGTGTGTGTGCGCGCGAGCGTGTGCGTATGCGTGTGGGCGTGTGCGTGTGTTCGTGTGCGCGTGCGCGCGCGTGTGTGTGGGGTCTTTATCTCTGTTGACACACACACAACAAGGAGGGTTTGGAGTCATTAAATACTATGAAACCGACGAATCATAGGGTTCTTATCTTTGTGACACACACACACGCACATAACACACACACGCGCGCGCACGTATGCATGCACGCACGCATGCACGCATGCATGCACGCACGCGCGCACACACACACACACGCGCGCACACACACACACACACACGCGCGCACACACACACACACGCGCGCGCACACACACACACACACACACACACACGCTCACACGCTCACACGCTCGCACGCTCGGACGCACACACGCACACGCGCACACGCGCACACGCGCACACAGATTTTTTGGCTCCCCGCTCTCCCCGTCCCCCGGGGATGTGGTGGTGGGTGTTTTTGTGGTTAAATAATATACTTTGTGATCCCATTGTATCCCTATAAATTTCAATCCTACATTTCAAATCATTCAAAAATTATTTAGGTGGCCTGGGACATTTGGTAGGCACTGTATAAAATATAAAGTATAATGGTTATTGTTTCTATAACTAAGGAAGATATGAAAATAAGAACACATATTACTTTTAGATCGATTATTAATTTTATCAGATAACTGAAACAATATTCGTAAATTCATTAAAATATATTGGGTGAGTGCAAAAGTTCGTGCGGAGTTTGTGAGTAAAAGTCACACAGTGATTAGGCAAACAAAAATCTTTATTCAATCAATGATATATTCTCCATCGTTTTCTATAATCTTTTCCCAACGTTCTGGCAGCATACGGATGCCTCGATCATAAAAACTGCGCGGTTTAGATTCGAAGAACGAAGAGACGCCGTTTTTTAAGGCTTCTAAAGAGTCAAAGTTTTTTCCATTTAAATAATTTTGCAATGACCGGAACAAGTGATAGTCAGATGGTGCGAAATCAGTAGAATATGGTGGATGCGTTAAGACATCCCATTTCAGGCTCTTCAGTTTGCGCAGCGTCTTTTTCGAAACGTGTGGTCTGGCGTTGTCGTGATGAAAGACGACTCCCTTGCGATTTGACAAAATCGGACGTTTCTCTTTTATTTCTCGATTCAGATTGGTTAATTGGCGACAGTACTTGTCCGAATCAATCGTTTCGCCAGCGGGGAGAAGCTCGAAATAGATTATGCCCTTGCAATCCCACCAAACAGAGAGCATCACTTTCATCGGGTGCAAACTGGCCTTTGGCATTGCGTCACCATACTCACCTGATTGTTTCCATGTCCGTTTGCGCTGAACATTGTTGTAGAGGACCCATTTCTCATCGCCCGTCACTAGTCGATCCAAAAACGACTCGTTATTGAGCCGCCCGAGTAAAGAAACGGCTGCAGAAATTCGCTTGATTTTGTTCTTCTCGGTCAGCAAATGGGGCACCCATATATCGAGCTTCAAATCGAATCCCATCTTTTTTAAACGCCGAAAAGCGGTTGATCGGTCAACGTTTAGTGCTGTAGCAACTTCTTCTGTTGAAATTCGCGGATTATTAAGCACTAAAGTACGCAAAACATCGTCATCAATGTCAGAAGGTCGACCAGAGCATGGCTCGTCTTCAAGGTTAAATTCTCCGCGCCAAAATTTAGCAAATTTTTCCACAGTTCGTTTAGCTGGTGCTTCATCCTGATAAACATCCTGAATGTTTTTTACGGCTGCGGCAACGTTTATTCCCTTCCGAAACTCGTAAAGCATAACATGCCGCAAATGCACCTTATCGATACTCATTTTTAAAGTGATATTTCTCGAAGCAGTTTGTATGAAAACAAATGATTCTTTTTTTAATAACAGCTGAAGACGTCACCTTTCCAACGTTATATAATATGTAGATGGAAGTATTAATGACAACACTTTACGACGCTTATAACTCCATCTATTGAAACTCCGCACGAACTTTTGCACTCACCCAATATTTAGAAATCTGCAGGTACCATTTTGAACATTTAATAAAGTGATTTTTAAACCATTTTACGTTTATTTTAATTTTATGTTTTTTTTTGATATTTTTTAACATTAGCCTGTCCAAGTTACGTTCCAAAATTTATTTTTTTCCATAACTCTTTAACAATGCAGAAGAGAAAGAAATATTTCGAGTGAAACATTAAAGTTATTAATGTTGACGAGAGCTATTTTAATAAAAAATATTATAACCTGCTCTATTAAAAAAAAAGAAAAATAAGCGGGAATTCGCTTTGTCTCTCTAAAAGTCTCTCGTAAATATATATTTACACGTTAAATAGTCAACATTTATGTGTTTGTCCCATTTAATATAAAAGAATTCAAGTTTATATTTCTAATCAAATTTCGAAGAAAACAATTTATTATAATATAGGGTGTTACATTTAAGATGTTGCCAGTTGTTATCTATTAGGTGTACAAATAAATAGTCCAAATTTTTTTAAATAGTTAAAAAATTAATTTTAAAATCACTTGATCTTCTTGCACTTTCGCGGTTACATAGTATTGACATATAGCTATTAAAAATAAATAATTCAATATAGCGGAAGACCCAACATAACCTTCAAGAGTATTCGGTTCAGTAGAGTCAAAAATGGTCATAAATAAAGTACATATCCGACATTATAATCTTTCCGAATTTTAACGAAGAAAAATGCTACAAGAACATGCAAACTTGCTCCTTGTTCCCTTCTCGGCGAAAATGTATCGTATATGATGTGTGCGCATTTTGGTTTAAGCGATTTAAAAGCGGTGACTTCAGTCTGATCGACAAACAACGTTACAGAGGACCTCGGAAATGCGACAACGATTATTTGGAACAACTGTTCTCTGTGAATTCCGCACAAACGCAAAAGGAGCTTGCACAACAGTTGGGAATAAACGCAATAAACCATTTCCAAACGCCCACATGAGATGGGAAGAATTCAGAAAGAAAGAAGGTCGGTTCCGCATGAACTCAACAAAGCCAACACGAATCAACGAGTGGCAGCGTCGAAAGTCTTTCTTGTGGAAAATCGTTATGGGCGATAAGAAATGGATACTCTATGATGATCTGAAATGCAGAAAATTATGGGTAAGTTCTGGCGTACTATCGACATCAGTCACAAAGATCAATCGCTTCGGAAAGAAGGTTCTGCTCTACATTTGATGGGATATCAAGAGGTTGCTTTATTACGAGTTTTTGGAACCGAGAAATACAGTACTGACTACCAACGTCAATTAATTGCTTGAGTCAAGAATTGAAATGAAAACGTCTATACGTTTGAAAATGTCTACGTTTGCAAGGGAAACGTCTTATGAAATTGTTGCATGATGACGCCAGGCTGCACATTGCTTCTAAGATAAAAAATACTATAATGAATTTTGAAACGTTTTGCAGCACTCACCAGACATTGCTCTCTATCCGATTACAACTTATTCCGGTCGATACAGCACGCCTTGTCTGATATGCATTTCCAATTAATGGATGAGATCCGAAAATAGCTTGATGATTTTATTGCGTCCAAAGACGTAGTATTTTTCCGAGATGAAATTCATCAGTTGTCTGAAAGATAGCACAAAGCTATAGAAAATAACGGCGAATACTTTGATTGAAAAATTCGTTTTACTTTCTTTTAAAATAAACCTAGATTTTAGCTGAAAAGTTTGTATTATTCATTTGTACACCTAATATGTAAGTATGGATTAATACAAAAAATATTTTGGAAAAGAATTGTTTGTTTTTATGGGGTAAAAAGAATAGGAATATTAGTTGGACCTCGGGTACAGGTACTAAACTCATATGAAAGTCAACTTAAATTTTTTAAATAATAAAAAAATATCATAACTTGATTCATAAAAAAAAAAAAGAAAAAAGAGGACAGTAATATTCACGTTTTCATGTGACAGTGTTTTTCTACTTATAAATCTCAGCAATTTATGTCCTAAGATTTTTTTATGTAGTTAACATTTCTAGATTTGTGATGTTTTGGATTTATGTTTGCCCAATTTTAATTCAGCCAAATGTTTCATAAATTAAGAATGCAATAACTTTATATCGACCTTCTATGATTTTAACAAGGTGATAATTTGCTTTTGCGTTACCTAAGATCAATGACATTATCATAAAAGCCAATTAACCCTTCTGGGTTGCTTGATTTACAATATATTGCAGAAATTGACGCGACTTATGAAATCGGATTCTTCTAAATTTTGGTGCGAGTGTGAGATGAATAACATTATTTTCATGTATTTAGTAGCTGTTTTTCTTCATATTTTTTCTTTATTTTTTCACTATACTATATCTAACGAAACTTTCTAATATTTCATAATTAATGCTGTATGTGATTTTTTTTTGAGATCAGAATAACGTCTTCAGTACAGGTATTTATTGCCTAACGTAATAATTCTTTCTGTACTCTCCTAATATAATGAACATTACAAAATATTCTTAATATGCCCGATCTATTACGACAATAACTGATTCTTAGTTAATGCAAAAGAGAAAAAGTAATTACTCAGTTTAGAATTATATCTACAAATATATGTATGTAATACTTTGCCAGTTAGACTTGTTTCAATAAAATGTAATCCAATATTGCAATCATTCATGAAGTTAACATTTAGAAACCAAGTGCAATGCAAATATGTATGTATACATGTACAAACACATTTATTATTTTCTTCTAATTGAGTACACTTGAGAGTTGTGACAATTTGATTAATTTTTTTCTGATATAGTATTTTGCCAGTTATATTTATTTCAATGAAATGTGATCCAATATTGCAATCATTTATGAAGTCAACATTCAGAGACCAAATGCAATGCAAATATGTGTGTATACACGCACACACATACACACATCTTTTTCATTATTTTCTTCCAATCGCGTACACTTGAGAGTTGTGACAATTTAATTAATTTTTCTCTGATATGTTGAAGAAAGAATGAGTTGAAGAAGAATGAGTTGAAGAAAGTGTTACGTCCAGCGGACTCCGGGGAATTAAAAATTTTTTGTTTCTCTCAAACTTTTATTCTCCCAATATAACAAGGGTCATAGGAAACAGACACATCTGGCGAACATCCATCGCGTCAAATCGAAGGCGATACAGAAAAATGCCATAACAGAAAACAGTATCATGTTGTGAAAATCTACACGTCTCTGTTCAGAGTTTAATGTGTCGGTCTAGCTATAAAATTTGAAACTCCTCGCTAACAAATCTTCAACAAAACAAAGCAACTCGAAGCATTCCTGCTCTAAAAACTTGAAACCTACATCTTCCCAATCCGAAACCATACGTATCCTACCAGTCAAACAACAAAGCTTACTTCACTGGTAGTCATAAAATCTTATCTCAACCTTTGATTTACGGCATCCTGACTCTTCCAGCTGGCCACTTGTACACATCTGTCTACCCTACAAGAATCCACCACCTTCGCACTTGTCATGCCTAATCCATTCGGCCAATCAAAACCAATCTGCCCAAAACTATGAGACATCCACACTCCACTCCTTAGCCCTTCTATATTCATATCTTTAAGAACTAACCGTCTCCTTTCACGAGATCTTTTAACCTCATCCTTAATTTCCAATGGCTAAGACTTTTTTCCACCAAGGTCAACCAGGACCAATAATAAAAAATTACTAACCAATCGAAAGGGTGGACGAACATGTGGGAGAAGAGAAAGGAGTACCAGGAGATAAACGTTGAGGGAGAATGTAGGGAGGTATAAAGAAGAGTGACGGATCTAGGTTATAGTTGATTTCTAATGAAATATTGATAATTGCTCGGAGGTATTGAGCGTTAGATTCTATTGCTGCAGGATCTCTTGTTTCAAAGATCGACTCGAAAGAGTGGAGAACTCTTTGAATGGTGACAGTGGTATGATAATAATGACCCACTGAAAACGGATTCAATAATAACGGGTGGAATTAATAAAATGAGGGTATAAAGGTAGAGAATAAATAAAACTTACTGCTGGTTCAAGATGACTTGTACAGGAAAGGAGAACAGGAGATGCTACTTTGCGTGGATATGCCTGTCAGGATCTCTCAGGATCGATCCAATACCCACACTAGCACGTTACATACAACAATGTACTCGTTAATAATTATTGGGAATGATGAAAATTGTCAAAATTTGAGTGACTGGATGCTAACTTGTCAAAGTCTGAATGTCTGAATGCCAACTGTCAAGAAAAAAGAATATCTGAATAAATGCGGAGGCGAATTGTCGCGGTTTTTATACTGATGATCGGAGGCAGAACCCACCAGAGTGGGTAGAGAGATAGCCCTTGGAGAAGGGGTGAAACCCTAAGAAGAGTCCAATGATGTCAAAGTCACTGTCACCATTCAAAGAGTTCTCCACTCTTTCGAGTCGATCTTTGAAACAAGAGATCCTGCAGCAATAGAATCTAACGCTCAATACCTCCGAGCAATTATCAATATTTCATTAGAAATCAACTATAACCTAGATCCGTCACTCTTCTTTATACCTCCCTACATTCTCCCTCAACGTTTATCTCCTGGTACTCCTTTCTCTTCTCCCACATGTTCGTCCACCCTTTCGATCCCCTCGATATCTTATTCTCCTGTCTTTTTTTCTTAACTGTCCACTCCCCTTAACTCGCCAGACCGCTCTCGCTCCCCCTCACCCGACTAATTTTCTATATTCGTTTTCCTTCCCTTTCCGTTCCTCTTCATTCAGAACAACACACACACACACACACACACATACACACACACACACATACACACACACACACGCATACACATGTTTCGCGTAACTGTAATCCGTCATTTTTAAAATCGCGCCGTTGTACCGTATACTGCTTGTTATCTTAATTTTAATAAATTTTGTTATTTGTTCAAATTATTTTTCATATAATTGATTTTAAAATCACCTCTCTTGCTCACCTCCCTCAATTGTCGCTCACGGTCCTATCCCAGGTAAAAGGATTCAGTTCCTTGACCTGAAGGACCTCCGACGTACGTCCGCGCCATATAAAAGAGTCATTCCGATCCTTGATCGGCACCGCAGACTTGTGAGTATGTCGGAGCTTGCAAATGCAAGCATCCAGTTAAGGCCATCACACACAAATGAACGTAAGCAATAAGACGTAAGCAGTAAACTGACCAATCACAACCAATTATTCTCGTAAGTTTTAAAATAGCGTCCTTAAATTTGTGATTGTTCGATTTGCTTATTGCTTACGTCTTCCTGCTTAAGTTCGTCTGTGTATGATGGCCTTTACATTCCTTCTCTAGAACGTAACAAAAGAATTCCTATAAAAAAACTTGCAACAATCGTTCGTCGTCATGACGATCAATGAATCGTTAGGATACGAACAAATTGTGTAGCACGAATCATTTACTCGTCATTGAGATCGTATATATGATACAATTATGAAGTAAAACTCGTTTCATGCATCCTACGACTCCATGAAACACCACGCGGGTCTGCATATTAATATTTATTCATATAGCAATGGGAAATTCATGATGCACCGCGCAATACGCCGGCGAAATGTTTTGTCGCCTGAGTCAGCTGCGTGAACGTTGCTTGTAACTCGCTGTATTATTTACGGAGGGAGATCAACAATGACCCTTCTCTAAGGTAGACTGAAAAAACTGTGAAAAAACGGTCGACGCGACGGAACGACGGAAGCGAAAATCTTATGGCGCGCGGTCGTCCCGCGAAATCGTTGTTATGCCACTATTATTTTACAAGGATATCTGCGCCTGACCTACATTTCTCTATCTGTCAATGGCAGGCTCTTTCATTTGTTATTGCGAGGCCTCGATATTGTAGATGATACTGTGTGGAAAAGGTCAGACGTCATTTGCCGCGAACCAAATTGTCGGTATATCGAAATTGCTTTCATATATTTTCCCTCTCTGCTTTTTTATCTTCACACTCCTCGATTTTCGGCACGTCGCGCTTGTATTAATCGTAGTATCGCATAGAACCGGCTAACTTCAATCGCGAATCCATTCAAAATATACATAC